AATATTGTGAAAATCATCTCTATATTTGCATTATCGAATCTACAGCATGTACTACTTTTAATTCAGGAAACAATGTCAAAAAAGGTTATAAAACTACAGTATACATCAACTCATCCTCATAACGTTTCAGATTTTTCTATAATTTTCCATCATATTCTAAATAATAATAATATGTCCGTCGCTTTATTAAAGACATTATCCGAAGATTATAAAAATCTTGTAGAAAGTTCCAAATTTGCCGATATTACAATTCAAGTTGGCGAAAAACCTAATTCTGAGGCATATTTTTACGCACATTCTTTAATTTTGCGAGCTCGTTCACCTTATTTTCAAGACGTACTGTCAAAGCATGGAGATAAAATTGAATTTGGAAAGGTGATAATATTTGATAAACCCAATATTACACCTGAGTTATTCGAAATTCTTTTCAGGTAAAAAAATTACCATTCAGTGATTTCCAGTGATTTAATTTGAATTTATTAAAAAAGTTTTTTTTTTTCTTTTTTTAGATATATTTATGATGGTACTATTGATCTCACTGATATTGATTTTTCGGACATCATTTTTCTTTTATTGGGCGCTCATGAACTCCGTCTCAAAGAATTATGTAATTATATTGAAACGTACGTTGTTGGTCAAAAAGATCTTATAAAGAAGCATATTACTCTCATCAATAGAAATAGAAAAGCATTATCAAATTTTACAAAATTTGCAGGATTATGGAAAAAAATCATCTCACAAGATGTGAATATTTTCAGGAGTAATGATTTTACTACACTTCAAAGAGACGAGTTCCTTCATTTTTACATTAACCGCCCGACAAATATCACTGATATTGAATTATGGGAAAAACTTCTTAAATGGTCAACACATTCTGGTTCTTTACCTTCAAATGTTACTCAATATAATACTAAGCATGTTGCAATTTTAAAACAATTGATCGAACCATTCATTCCACATATTAATTTTAAATGTATTAGCAAAAAAGATTTTAGTCAAAAAATTCGCCCATTCCGTCAAGCTTTTGATCCCGATTTTTATATTCAACTTTTAGACATACATGTATTTGATGAATTTCAAGAATCAGACAATACGACTAAACCTCCCTCTCCCTCAAATATTTCTACAATATCTGCGGCACTCACATCTGGTGCTAAATTACCGATATCTGTAGAAATCAATTTTGAATCCACTAGAGGCAGATCCACTGCTGTTACAGCTGTTACAACTTCTAAACCAACAAATACTACTGAATTTAAATCTACAAAATCTACCTCTGCTTCTACTACAATTACTTCTGCTTCTACTACAATTACTTCTGCTTCTACTCCTACTTCCTCACCTACTCTCACTTCTACTTCCACATCTGCCTTTTCACCTACTTTCACGCCTACTCCCACTCTTACTTACATACATACTTCCACATATACTTCTGCACCTACCTCTGTACCTCCTTCTACACGACAACTCACGATTCAATCAACTATAATTGAACAAAAACATATTGTATTGATAGTAAAATGGATTAATGAAATATGCAATTTAGATCAAAGTACTTTTTATACCTTCAATTTACTACAACGTGCTTCAAGACATGGCTCTAGTTCAAAAAAATTTCATTCTCGCTGTGATAATAAGGGACCAACTTTAGTTATTATCCGTATTAAAGATACAGGCGAAATTATTGGTGGTTATAACCCAATCAATTGGTGTAAAGCAGCTGTTAAAAATACTTATCATTCCACTTCAACAAGCTTTGTATTTTCTTTAAACCTTCAAAATCTAGATGATTCAATAGTTAGTAAAGTAATTGACACTGAGCATGCAATTAGACAAAATAGATACACGGGTCCAGGGTTTGGAAAAAATGATTTAAAGATTTGTGGTGAAACAAAGGAAAACGAGAAAAGTAGATGTAGAAAAGGGAGTTATGAAAAATCAATTCGACAAAGCAGTGATATTTTTTCTGTTGATGATTATGAGGTTTTTCAAGTTTTTAGAAAATCTACTATTCAGTAATTAGGCTTCTGTTAAATTTAGCTTGGAAATTATAAATCTTTCAATTTATATTCAATTTATATCAATTATTCATTCATGTGTCTCAATTGTCTTAATTGTCTTCAATCGTTCTTAATTGTTCTCAATCATCTTAATTGTCCTTAATCGTCTTAATTGTCTCAATCCTCTCAATTGGTAAGGGTTTATAGAATAGTATACATCAATTTAAAGAAATTTTATCAATTTGTCATGTAAAGCATTGATAGTAACAAAATTTTAATGTTGCTGTTAATTTTTTATTGGGTAACAAAAGTAATGTTAATGCGTTTTGTGATGCCTTTTTTTAAATTCGGTTTATTTTTGAATTGAATGATTATTTCAAAGAATCATTAGAGCATTAATCATTACAAGATGTAAATAAATAATCTTTTTTGTCGACAATTTTACTTGACCTGTATGTTTTTTATTTGATGTAATAAATTATAAACAACTATCAGGATTATTGTTAGTATGAATTAATTTCCAAAATCCCAATATTATAATCTTTTCTACAACTCAATATATTAAATAATAGTCATAAGTTTACATGTAAAATTAAGCATAGTAACAGCTAACGCACTAATAATATCTCACATTAATAACATCTATCTTAATAACATGAGATGTCAGCATTAGTAGGTATACTTTGTTTCCAACGAAATACATTATGAGAATCATATTTTTGTTTAATTTCCACCAGTTTCCAAAACCTTCACCATAATATCTACATTGCCAATTATCCAACTGACTATCAATTAAATTTTGGTAACTTTGGAAATTGGTATAATTTCGAAAATTTTGTGAAAAAACTTCTATATCCCATAAACACTCTTCAGTAACCTTTTCCGCTTTCATTCCCATATGGTTCATAAAATCCCTGTGAATGAATGCTGTTTCATTTCTCTTAACCTCATTAACTCTTCCACCAAGTAGTAACATCTCAATTCTCACCTTACACTTGAAGCTTTCGACAAATTTCACTAGATATTTAGCTTCTTCATAAGATAACCCACCATGATTCATAAAGAATGATTTTACTTTAAAATCTCCTGGAATTTTAATTGATTCTGAAGTACCAGTAATTAGGCTTCTGTTAAA